AATTACAATAAATGCAAGATATTGCATGTAGGTTATCATAATTTGAATTATAAGTATAATTTGAATGGGAATAATCTTAACAGTGTTATGAAAGAATAGGATCTTGGTGTAGTGGTTGATCAGTCTCTTAAGCCACTCAAGCAGTGTGCTATTGCTAGAAATATGACAAATAGGATTTTAGGTTATATTTATAGAAACATTGAATACAAGTCTAAAGATGTTATAATTTATTGTAGAGATCACTGGTTAAGCTACATTTGGAGTATTGTGTTCAGTCTTAGGCTCTTTACTTTAGGAAAGGGTTCAGAGGAGAGCTACTAGAAAGGTGCCTGAAATGGAAGGGGTTGTCATACAAGAAGAGGGTTAAGATCTCTGAAAATGTTTTCTTTTGAAAAAGGAAGAATTAGAGGGCATCTGATTAAGGTGTTTAAGATTGTTAAGGGAAATGATAGTATTCATGTATCATCGTTTTTGATATTTAATGGCAAGATTGGAAAGACTAGGGGACACAAATATAAATTTTGGCAAGGTAGGAGTCATCTTTAACTAAGACAGTTTTATTTTTCTAACAGGGTGGTTGGCCTTTGGGAATGGCTAACCTTCAGATGTTGTGGAGGCAGTAAATTTAAGCAGGTTTAAGAGAAAGCTTGATGATTATATGAATGATAAAAGCTGGCTTTGAGTTTTTTTTATATTTATTTAATACTTTTATTTTAGTTTAAGAGGATGGGACAGCCTAGTTGGAGCAATAGGTCTCTTATTGTCCCTAAACATTATATTAGGTTATACTTTCATGTATAGATCACTGGTTAGCCTTCATTTGGTGTAGTTTTCAGTTTTAGGTCCTTACCATAGGAAAGATATTCAATTTTCAGAAAGGATTCAGAGGAGGGCTACTAGAATACCTAAGATGGAATGGTTGTCATACAAGGAGAGATTAAGATTTCTGAAATTGTTTTCTTTTAGGAAGAGTTAAAAGAAATCTGAGTGAGGTGTTTATGATTGGGGATTTATAGTGTTAATGCATCATCTCTTTAAATAATTAATTATGAGAAGGGTAGTATTACAGGACACAAGTACAAATTTTGGCAAGGTACGAGTCATCTTCAGCTAACAGTTTTATTTTTCTAAAAGTAAACATTGGCAGATTTAGAGAGTGGTCCTGCAATCCCAGGACCATTCCCAAAGTTTGTAAATTTTTTTCAGGACCCACTAATCAATAAAATCAAGAATTGAAAAATATCCGAAACACCCTCATGGACGAGAACAGTACGTAGCCCACTTGTTTGTGTGTCTGTTTAGCAATTTAAATTGACCCTGATCAAATGGGTTGCCTTTGAAGGTGGTGATAGAATTAAGGTAGTTAAACTTTAAGGGAAAGCTTGATAAATATTCAAATAAGAGCCATTTTTGCTTTTTATGTCAATTTAGTTGATGGGACAGCATAGAACTCGTTACTGGACCAACAGTTCCCTTGCTGCCCTTAAAGTTAAATATTATTTTTATCAATTTATGTACCTTTCTCACGGCGTGAATGGGTAATGAAGAAAAACTTCAAGTTTAACAGGCAGGCAGCACACTAGCGTGTAGTGGTGCAAATGGTTAAAAGAAAATAAAGTTAGGTATGCCTATAGATACACTTTCAATTTACATTGCTATTAAAACAATTTAAATAGCTTTCCTGCGTTACAAACAAAGCGCTGCTTCTATTCAAATAGTTTGACCTTGACTCGAGATTAACGCAAGTCTGAAGCATCTCTATCTGTGAAAAGTTCCTATTCGTTTTCCATACCCAATCCAAGAAATGGCGATTCCCCATAGCAGTCTTATCCCATCCAGAATTTTTAAAATGTCCAAAAATTTTTAGCATAATACATTTGTTTAAACTCTTTATACTTACAAGGAGGTCTCAGTTTGGTCGGTTCTAACAGTTAAGCCTTTAGATACGGAAATCACACTTTAATTGTTTTGATATTGTATATTCTTATTTATGAAAACTCTCAAGCAGCAGGCAATAATACTATTACAGTGCCACCTTCAACGTATATTAAAAATAAAATTAAGTAAAAGATTTGTTTGTAATTTAAAGGGGATATTTACAATACCTTACTAGATGCAATTTCGCAGAGTCCCCGAAAGTGTTCTGTTTCAAGAGTAAATATGACCAAAATTAAGAGTAACAAACATTTTTATTTCTTGCTTTTTAAAATCCATATGTCATGCTGTGTTGTAGCCTACAGAGCACATAATTCTTCTTGTGATTTATGGAATGCGCACGTTTTACTCACGTCACGACAGCACAAATTGCAACGCTAAGCGTTCCTTATGCGACGTCATTTTAGTGTCTACTGACTGACTAACAGACAGCACACTAGCGTGTAGTGGTACAAGTGGTTAAAACAAAATTAAATAAAACTCTTACGGTACAATTAACTACTCAGCAACTTAGTGGCACACGAGTGCCCATCCCCTCTGCTATACCCCATCCAGCCTAAAGAACCCTGGCATTGGGGTAAAGGCCTTGCCGACATTAGATACGGCATTAATGCTTGGAGACGGCTTGAATGGGTATTGAAGAAAAACTTTAATATAAGTTTAAGATAACAGCAAATGTACAACGTTTCGACATCATCAGGTACAAGTAGTTTACACTGACACAGATATATATATATATATATATACAGTATGGAACAAAGAGGTCACATGACTGGATATTGTTGCATGAGTTAGAACAGATATCTTGGCACCCCAGGGTGCTGGTTTAGAGAAAAGTTGTTTTGTCCAAGTAAGATGGATTCCTTGATTTTTCGTTTCTTTATGTTTGGTTCTTTGTTTAAAATTACTGTATAATTCTGGGCAGTTAGTGCTTGTTATTTTGTAAATGACGTTGGTATTATGTGATTCTAAATAATTTTTGTTTAGTAACATTTCTAATTTAGGGCCGGGTTTTTGAGAGAATTTGACGTTGACAGGAATTTTGTGTTTAATGGCTAATTTTGTCCAATTGTGGATTATTCTTGAGCTGGTTTCATGGACAAAGCCGTCTCCAAGCATTATTAGTTCCAAAGTCATCGAACTAGATACGGCAGTTGTAACATTCTCTTAAGTCTTATTCATCTTTATTAACATCCACCATTAATAGGATGCTAAGCATGACCGGTTAGCTTTTTTGTAGTCCCTATGTAAACCAATTCATTCAGTTATTGTAGCTTTGACAAATTAGTTCTAGACAGGACTTAGGAACAAATAATAAAGACACGAGCACCTGCAGTATCCTCCTCATATCTCCAGCCCATGAATTATGAAAGGGATAGATCAGGGTAGTTTAGATGAGCTTGTCTCCACACCACTAGCTGGTAAATGAAATGCTTGATATGGAAAATAAAGTGACAGTTGTAGGTGGAAGGAACTCAAGTGCATGTAATTCGTTGAACAATATTGGCCGATCTTAGTCAGACGAATAAACTCTTTGGACATTGTAAAATCTGCAAATGGGTAATTCTATGATGACTGACGTTACACTTACCTTTTAAAATTCTGTTATTTATATGGATATTGTTGCGTCAGCGAGGTCACGTGACTACTGTCACGCCACCTCCTTTCTAGAACTATCCCATTCCTTCGGGAGTGCGCTAGCATTTACTAGATTGGGGGTGGGGTGGTCTGGTATATATAAGATGGTCACGGCGTGACGTGAGAAGAATGTGTGTGTAGGTAGTGAGTAATTGAACTGCAGTCAGAGAGAGACACGTATTGTTGAAGTTCGTTGTTATAGCGTTTGTTATAGAGCGACTGTTGAAAATAAGTGTATCGGTAAAGTTATATTCAGAAAGAATAAACCAGTTTTATTAAGTAAGGACTTGTGTCGCTAAAGTTTCGTCGGAACGAATTTACGGAAAATCAATTAACAAACGGAGACGTAACAATATGAAGCGTTATAAATAGTACATTTTGTAGCCACTTAAGGCTTTATCATCTTGAGTTGTTGAATGAATGTCAGACACTGTGTAATTTCTCAAATGAACAGTTTTACATCTTTGTCTATTTCTTCTGTTAGTTCACATTTTCCTACATTTTACAATAATTCACTATCTTATTGGAAAACTTTCCACACAGTTTTCTTGATATGGCCTGTGATGCACAATGTAGTGTTACTTCCATTCGAAGCATGGAATACTTGAATAATCTCCAAAACAGGTAATCCATAACGCATCTTGTTAGTAATTGTGAGTACGGGAACCTGTTTTATTCCACGTTTGAGCCAAAGTTTAGAACATGACATCTTCTGGTAGTAGGTCAAGAGCAGAACTACGATATTAGTATTCCAGCATGCTTCATAACGTTCTTTGCTTGGTTCTCAATACAATGAACCTCATATATAAATTGCAGGTACTCATGTCTTTGCCACCTGTCCCCGAGTCCTGTCTGGAATTATTTTTTGAAGCTTTAAAGCTTGTTGCAATACTTTTCACTGCAAGTACAAAGTCTAATGGTTAAGTTATCAAGGCAGATGTGGTTTCCTGAGAAATACTGTAAACTACGATGCACAAATTGACCACTTTAAAACTGTTGTTATTTCTCCTTATATTTTGTATCTTAACAGTTTTTCTATTTTTCAAGTAATAGGGATGGGAAATTAGCAGTGGTTTTCTATATTACATACAAAAGCACACAATTGCTTTTATTCCATTTACCTTACGTTTTTGTAGTTACAACTGTATAGAGAAAGCTGCAGTTTTGCTGTGTTACATATTGTTACGACAGTGGGGTCACGTGACGAGTATTCTAGAAGATTCGCTAGTGTGTTACGACAGCGGAAGTCAAGTGACGCTGGTAGCACGTGTTGAGAGTCTTCGAAGTTTCTAGAACAGGCAGTATTATCGTATATAAGTGCGCTAGACAGTGAGAGAGAGACAGACGGAGGCAGAGACGTAGCAGAGACGAAGCAGGCAGAGGGAAAGAAAGACAGCGATTATAGT